TTTCTGAGTTGTGGCATCATCATGTTTCCATGAGTGTGAGGACCTGGCAGGTGAGGCGCATGCGCCACATCCACCTGTTGCACTGGGTGCGCATGGTGATCCTCTGATCCATGGGGCACCACGGCCGTTGGACTATGGAAGGGAATTTTCCTTAAAATTAACTAGGAAATGGACCTAAATTTTTCCTCATTGCAACTCCTAAATAGCATTTAATGAAGCTAAGAGCTTATCCAGAACTTCCCCATTAAATCCTAAAGGATTTATGATATTTTTTAAATTAAAAATCTGATCGGATTCTCATTTTAAAAAATCCTATTGGGTCCCATAGGATCCTATAGGATTTTCAATTTTAAGAAAATCTAATAGGATACAATTGGATTTCCCCCCCGCTCTTCTCATGCTCACATTGCACTCGAGTGGTGTGAAATGGTCTCGTTTCTATTTTCAAAACTCTTCCTCACCTACAATAAGCATTCATGGAAGTGCACTCGCATGTACAAATTTCCGCAACGGACGGTCTTTAAAATAAAAAAGTCAATTCGTTATTTACTTCGCTTACCACCAATCGCCTTGGTCAATTGAGGTCTATCCCGCATGAGGTGCGACTGCCCGATCTCCTCGAGGGCGTCCAGGAACGCCCGCATCCCGTCCGAGCCCTTCCCGTGGACCTTGAGCAGGATGACCTCCCTCCGCTTCCATTGCTTCGCGTCCCGCTCTCCGTCCCACTCATGATTGAGGATCCCCTTCGCGATGAGTTTCCCGGAGATCTGGTCTGCGTCCAGTTTCTCGAGGAGCTGGTCCCAGTTTCGCGTTAAACGGCCGAGGGCTCTCCTGCAAAAAAAATTTTCGCCACATTGTAAAAAAAAAAAGAAAGAAATCTGCTCTCTCTTTCCTATGCGATGGAGCACGATGGCATTCTCTCTTCGATCGATGTAAAAACCACGCACATAAGCACAAGTTTTTTTTTCTGATATGGGATAGAATCGGAAAACGGATTCTTCCATCTCATCCGAAACGCTTCCATGGGATGTCACCTCTTTGGATTATGTCACCTCTTTAGACCAGTTTGGTGAAGAATTCGAACGTCTTCCCTTGCGCTGCACGCGTGGAAAGATCGGGCATTTATCGGAAACTCATGGAGACTAATTCCAGCTGCATCAGGTATGAACTCTTAATAGCGGCTGCTGGACGGCATCTGGACCCGGCCGTGCGAACCTCTTCCGCACCAGTAACGTTTCACGTAAGCATAACCATCAGGATGGAGGACTTCAATTCGGTGAAAGTTTTCACTTTCGAGCAACTTTTACATACGCGGGTCCAGAAGACGATAAAGGTCATGAGCCCTTTATAACTGATAAACCCTGAAAACTTTTAAGCGCCGTTTACCTTCAAGAGTCACTTCCGAATAAAGGTCACGCGAAAGTTTCAATTTTAACATTGTAGGAATTGAAGGTTACCACATCTCGGTAACTTTCTTGCAACCCCTAGAAACCTTAAAAGTGCCTTTTAAATGCGGGAGTAACGTGTTATTAAAGTCAAGAAAAATTTGGCGTTTGTGGTTTTTTTGGCTCTCTTTGGCATGACGATCGGCATTGCTCTCGGGGGGAATTAGAACGACGTGGTCCATGGTTCAGCGATGTTTAAAGGTCCCGCGAGGTTTAAAGGACTCTCGACGGCTCTCGGTGGGTGTTCGTGGAAAGGATTGGGGATTTAAAGGGCAGGCTCTTCCATGTTTTCACGAAGAGAGGACGCCATCGCATTGAAAAAACCGACCGAATTTTTTTGGGAGGTTCTGGGGATGTCGGAGAAGCTGTCGCTCGAAAGTCCGCACCTGTGTCAGGATTCCAATTCCGGTCATTGAATGGCATTTGCAACCGGTAAACAATTATTTGTTCTTACCAGGATCCTCCCGAGGTGCAGAAATGCTGCAAATTTTCTCATCAAGATTCTCTCTGGGATGCTGTTGCGGCAGCTTGAGACTCCTTTCATGAGGGATTTAGAAAGTTTTAGGTCTTTCCATGTTTTTTTTTTTCAAGAAAGAATTTGAAGCAAGACTTACTTGCTGCCGAGCCCCTTCTGCTGCTCGTGAGTGTTGCTGAGCTGGTGAGTCACGTTTCCAAACCGCGTCTGGGAGTCATCGACACGGGTTCGAGAGTCATTGACCAGGGTTCGAGAGTCATCGATCCGGGTTCGAGAGTCATTGACCAGGGTTCGAGAGTCATCGATCCGGGATCGAGAGTCATTGACCTGGGTTCGAGAGTCATCGACCAGGGTTCGAGAGTCATCGACCCAGGTTCGAGAGTCATCGACCCGGGTTCGAGAGTCATTGACCAGGGTTCGAGAGTCATTGACCAGGGTTCGAGAGTCATCGATCCGGGTTCGAGAGTCATGGACCAGGGTTCGAGAGTCATCGATCCGGGTTCGAGAGTCATGGACCAGGGTTCGAGAGTCATTGACCAAATTTCGGGAATCACTGACCAAAACATGGGAGTCATTGACTTCTGATTGGAACTCGTCCGAGTTCCTCCTAAGTTTCGGACAATGCCCGTAATTGACATGAGCATCGTTTCGTGCGACCTCCTGCGGCGCGGGAGATATGGACAAGCAAAAATTCTTGTGAAGTATTAAAAAAAAAGCAGATAAAATCGCAAATAAGGCGAGAGAGAAGAGCTAAAAATAGGAATCTCTCACGGACAAACGACGTCGGGACGAGGATTCCGAAACGGCCTTGTAGAGCAAGAACACATACGTGAGGATGGACTTTTCGCCTGGTCCATGACCTTCAAAATCTGCGAAAAAGGACAAGGCCATAAACTTTGAACGCATGCTGCTTCCATAACGCTAGAGCATGCTCATAGCGACTGAAACACCTGACCTAACCTAACCAAAGGTCATGGTCATGGTTAGGCAGACTTGCCTTGCAGAAAGGATACCAAACATAAAGGAAGGATACCAAACAGAAAGGATACCAAACAATGACTCGATGGGATGCCATGAATTCATAGTCTACCGCGACCAGGATCAGAAATGATATTAGGGCATATTACAGGGCATTGGGGATTCAGATCCGAACGAGAGCGTTGCGCGGCGCGGCTGCCACCAAATGATTACATTTCCGTTGCCGTAGTGTCATGTTTTATTATGTAAGGATTTTTTATCACTAAAAAATAATTTCTTGCTGCATTAATTTTTCCTGTAACTAAATTAAAACATGTGGGAACACAAAGAGAAGGAAGAAAGTTGGAGACGGTGCCTTATCGCTGACTTCTGCTTAAATTTTCCGAAAAAGCATGAAATCATGAACGAGTACAAGCTCGGCTGCTTCTTGTCTCCTCATTTTAAATTATTGTTTACCACTTTTGGTAATTTTTTTTTCTTAAATTACCAAATGATGAGTATAGTTCGACATCATTTTCCAAGAACTTAAGTCGTTAACGTCCGTGCAACAATCCAATCACAATCCAATCACTCCCTGGATTCCTCTGTTCTCCACCCCCCTGTTTCTGTAGAAAACCGATAAATAAGAGATAAATAACAATAATAATAACTCGCCTTGAGGATCAAGGAGCCTCGGCACTGCAAACTCTCGCTCGGCCGCTCCGAAGGCGACGTCTAGGCGATCCCGAGCGATTTTCAGCCCAGTCCAGTCGACGAGCTCTGGCCTTGTGGCAAAAAAAGTCAGTGCTGCATAAAAGGCCATTCAGCGCTCGAATGGTCTCAGTGGTCCCAGAGGAGACAAGAAATTGTGTTTCACTTGTGGCGGCGAAGAATGGCGACGAACGCCAGTCCGTCGGTCCAGGACTTGTGGAAGTCCTTCACGTTTTTATGCTCGCCGACCCATTTCAGCAGCGCGTCCTTGCCTCTGCTGCCGTCGTGGACGATTTTCGAGACCTGGGGAAGCGGCGATGTTCGTTACAGCTTGATATAACGGCGCACTTTTTTTTAATATCAAATAGTATGCAGCAATCGAGAGGGAATTTATGCTCAGATTCGATAATATCATGAGAGGAATCGAAGTCGCAAGAAATATTAGAATGAACCCTCTTGACGGAAATTCCTTGTTGAGCAATCGCGCTTTCTGGTAACCTAATTCAATATCGATGAGTGAAATAAATGAACTGATTCGTGGAGCAATTTACAACTGTCTTAGGAAACCGAAAGGTAGTACCGAATTTTACGAAAAAAAAATCCAGATTTCGGAATGCCCGGCTCACTCGGTAATGCAAAATCAGGGTCCAGAGGAGTCCCACGATCAGCTTGGGTTCCCCATCCACGATATCCACGGCGCGAATGTCCACATCTCGAATGTCCACCAAGAGAATCTGCAAAGCGTGTCGCATTTGCTTTCGAGGCGATTTCTTTGAAACCACGAGAACTCTCGATATACCTTTCCAAAAAAAATCGTGAGCCCCGTGGGATGCAGAGACATCCTCCTTCCCTGACCGACCACCCGCCCTGACAAGAGGGGAACGAGGCGGGTTCCAAGGAAGGGCGGGACTGCCTCGGGGCTCGGGATCTGCCCTCGCGAACGCCCTCTCCTTTCCTGGACCGCTTCGCTTAGATTTTTTTTTTGGAAAGGTACGACATTTATTCATGGAACCCGTAGCGACATGCAGGCCCGCCAGCAGCAAGCCTTTGCATGTAGCGCTGCAGGCACGTTTCATTCGTGGCTCAAAAGTTTCACTAGGATACTTTAAAGATATGTACAGAAAAATTATTTAAATAAAATTACTAGCTAAAAGCATAAGAGTTTTAATTGCTTGCAATTCTCGCTGCCGATCTTCAGTGACCTTTGAACCATAAGAAATGATAAACTGAGGAATTACGTTATATCGTCATAACTTAGATCAAACCGAGGTGTCCCGAGGCAAATATTCAATCAACAAGAGAACGATCCAAAAAAAAGGGGAAATCAATCAAAATACGAATGTGGAATTTCATCAATTATAAACAGGCATGTGCCCATCTAACACGGCTGTTCAACCCTCACCCGCCGCCGTTCGAGGAAGTTCAGCACCGCCTGGACGTTGTGGATCTGGTGGAACCGTTGCGATCCTCTCTCCCGACTCTGAAAGAGAGAGAAGGAGAGAGAGAAAAAAAAAACATGGGCGACACAGTCAACAGCCTCAGAGGAGAGCATGTGGCGCGTCCCCTCACGAGTCGCTCTCCGGACAGCACCTCCAGCAGGGAGATGACTTTGTGGATGTGGTGGTTGCCATGAGAGCCTTCCCCTTCCTGGAAGTACAGTCTGGAATTGTCTAATTGTCCCAATTTTCATAATTTTCATAATTTTCACAATTTTCATAATTTTCACAATTTTCACAATTTTCATAATTCTTTATAGTTTTATTTATTTTTCATTGGCTTCATGTTGCATTTATTAATAGAAGTTCGATAATGGTGTCACATATCCCATAACCAAGTAGCGATCATTCCAGAGGAATTTTTTGCTGCCTTAATTAAATTAAGAAAAGCATTTAAATATGTAAATATGTAAAATAATACCATCCCTTACATTTTGGAGAGATTTGCCCCAAAATGGTCCTGTTGCAGAAAATGTGTTCAAGGTTAAGCATATTGGGCAGATTAAGTATATAGCTGGGCCGAGCGACGAATGCGTTGGTGTGACAGCTCCACAGGCCAAAAGCTCCGAGATGTGAACCGGTGGTTATAATAAAAAGTTTCTTATTCGAGTACGTACTTTTGGGAACTCTATGTGCCACGCCACCTTCTAAACGACAGCGGAAGGCGGTAGAGCGGCTTCGAAGTCGACCCACGATTTGTGCTAGGGATGAGAGTCGATTTGAGACGACCACAGCAGTTCGTTTGTGAGAATGAGTGCATCGCCTTCTCGCATCGCAGTCGGATCGGCAGAGGGCGACAGGTTATTAAAAGTGCACTCTATGGAAGACGGAAGCTTGCAATAAAAAGATAGTGATGTGCGAATCGTTACTCTGCTGAGTGTTGCGCGTTCCCTGCCTTCCTTTCCCCAGTCTGAGTCTCAGACCGGGACCGAGACTCGCCCACATTCGAGTGGTTCATTTCCCTCTTTTTTTTTCCGTCTGCCCCGCTAGTTCCCTTCCTATTGCAAGTACTGAAGCTGCTGATTAGGACGATATCCCGGATACCCAGGAGATAAGACGACACTGATCCCCGAGACCCCCTCACAGCCGCGATTTGCTTCCCGATTCCCTATCTCCGCGGTCGTACAAGCATCTACAGCCCTGCTCGGCGTCCCAGACATTTGCATGAACCTCATAGTCAATTCCTTACTTTTGCGATGAATAATAACACTGTCGCGTCGATTCCGAGATGCAATTAAACAAAATAAAAAATGTATTAAAATTTAATTTTTAGCGAGAGAATCCCGACCCGATTTGTTCCTTTCTAGAATTTGAATGCGATATTATTTGTTCCCGAATCAAATTTATAATTTTGAGAATCTGGAGTTGAATCCAAAGTATTGAAAAAATGCGCCGCACTCTTCCAGGGAAAATATTAGCTTACAGAGCTAATTATTAACTTCCAGAGCTAATGCTCTGCAATTTCCAATGGGAAAGCAAAATTTCCTACTCGCCTAGGATTTTATTTTGTAAGTTTGCCCCTGATTGTTTCGTGGGAACTCGTCCTAACGCCAACATGTCAAATGACGCCATTTTTAGAATAAATTTAAATAGAATAAGTTGAAGGAAACTTTCCCTTCATTATTTGCATCAACATCAGCACGTTTCAAACGAGAATTGCATTCCCTTTCACCTTGGAGAGACAGTGGTCCATCCACCCGGACAAGGTCTTCCTTTCGATTTCGAGGACTTCCTCCCTCGACCGGCCGGATTCGCCCTTGGAATGGCCCTCGGAATGGCCCTCGGAATGGCCCACGGAATGGCCCTCGGAATGACCCCCGAGTCGGGATTTCTTCGCGCGATCATGCCCCATACCAACGAAATCTTCGGTAATCTCAGAGTCTCGGTAATCCTAGATGTGTAAGGAAAACGTTGATTAACGGAGAAATTAGCGAAGTCTGAATGTAATTAATCACGGAACTGTTCCCAGTCAATTCCCCACTTGCCTATTTCCTGCAGTGAGTAATCACTACGTAATGACCATCATGTAAGTCATTGCATGGTAAGCCGTGAACACGAGAATTTGGAATTCGCGAAGAGCGAAAAGCCAAATCTACAGAGAGCCAAATGAAGGAAGAGGGACGAAGTACGCAAGAAATTATGGCAGGGGGGTAATAATAATTCACCAAGAAGTCACCAAATACTTTAACCATCTTGTTTTTCGGTTGTCCTCACTTCACCTCGAAGTGCTCCTTGGTCTTTGATATTCATCACCTCGAGAGATGGTATTAAATATCTGGCACTATATCGGGGAAGCACATGATTGGGGAACTGACGAGGAAATTTTTCACGCTGGAAACTGACTGGAGGAAAATTTGTCAGACTGGGAACTGACTGGCGGAATTTTTTTCGCGCTGGAAACTGACTGAGAGGGACTAGCCACCGGATTCGACCGGGAACCCTGAGAGCTATCTCAAGGCAATTGAGTAAAGCTCCTGCCGGAGAGACAGCCACCCCAAGCACGCCTTGCCGAACACTTGGTCATCGGATGGAGCGCCACCGAGTCCTGTTCACGGGGATTCCTTGCTACTAGCACTCAAAATCGCTGCGTTCTCGTGTGCACTGAAGTCATGAGTGGACGTGATAAGTACCGGTACAAGTTCACGAGTAAAAAAAATTCTTATAATCGCGACTGCTATCTGGGAGCGAAGGTCTACGCCTCTAAGCTATAACGGAAATGGAGCTTATGGAGCTTTAATCGGCTCATGTCACGGGTATGGGGTGTCAAGAGGACAAACACGCTTTGCCGATAATTCGGGAAATCCTTCATTTGTTTGAACGATCTTTCTTAGCTTAATTTGAGCAAAATTTGAGCACGGATTTTGACATGGCTTCGGTGCTAACCTCGAGGAATCAGTGCAAAAATATTGGGAATTCCCTTTTTTATAATTAGGACCGAGATGGTATTTGTTTATCCTCTGCGAAGAAAGGTCACGAAATCCATACGCTATCACGGTCCGCTGACGGACGTGATCGCTCGGTGAAATTAGTTACACTGCTCAGTACAAGCAGTACCCAATTGAACCGCCAAGTACGTCGAAGCACCCACATCCGCTCCTCGCCCTCCTTCCCCCCTCCCCAGTCGGAGTCCGCTATAAATAGAGGAAGCGGCTGGGGGTCAGTCTCAGACCGTCCGGGACAGCCGGACCGTGCGGATCTACATCCTCTCGTCTCGCGTGGTTCGCCGTTCGGTGAGTTCTTTTCCCGATCATGCCGACTGCATCACCTTCAAAATCATCCTACATCGCGCTAGACCACCCGGACTCAATCGTACGGTACAACTACATGAAAAATGGGAGTATGACGACGGCAATGCTTTCATCGACGTGAGCGACCCCCCTCCGAAAAAAATCCAATCGACATTACTATGGCGAATCAGATCGGGATACATCGGATGTGATCCATCCGGAGCCTGGATGACATCCGCCTGGAGGCCGGGGCACGTCTGTCCCAATTCACTTGCTTCAACTCAATTGGCCTGCTACCACTTGATGGTGAAGGTGGTGTCCTGATGTGAATTTAAAATCAATTAATTTTCATACCTTTTTTCTTCGCTGAAGCGATCTCCCAGTATTTATTGAGAGAAGATGACTTTTCCAAAGAACTATAAGAAGAAAGAACTATAAGTAAAGAAAAGGCATTAAAAACTCAATACGCATCAAGAAATAGAAAAACAAATTGAGATTAAGAACACAAAAAAACTCGTTGACAGGAACACCAAGCCAAACCAAGAAAAAGAGAAGAAAAAAGGTCAAATGTGATAAAACCAGCCTGGGTGACGCGAGGTTGAAAAGGTGTGAAGAATATTGTGAGGAATATCGTGAAGAATATCGTGAAGAATATCGTGAAGAATATCGTGAAGAATATCGTGAAGAATATCGTGAAGAATATCGTGAAGAATATCGTGAAGAATATCGTGCAGAATATCGTGAAGAATATCGTGACTAATATCGTGAATAATGTTGTGGAGAATGCTGTGAAGCAATCATCCGGTTTCCTCCCGAATTGATCCCGACACCTCCCCGAGCAGATGCAACATCGACTCCGATGATCGACACCTGCACATCAATTTCCTCTTCGAGCGCTTGCCGGCGCCAGCGCTCTGTAGGCGACAATCGAAGCCGTGGCGACGGCCCCGATAGCGACTGCAGCTTTGACCCCGTTGTCCACCTGCTTGCTGTATTTCCTACCTTCCGTGCATTCTCGGGCCAGGTGCTCGCAGTTGTTGGAGAACAGGTCGTACGGACCTGGAAGCAGAAATGAAAAGAGATGTCGACCGCATGACACTTAATTTGCTCCATATATCTAAAATACCCTGTATATACCTGTATTGAAGAGTTTTAAGCCTGAGGCACTTCCAGTTGCAATACACCTTTGTTACTTTCATCACGAGAAGACAGATGGTGATTGGCAAAATTGCAATGGCGTAGGCAGAAAATCGGCAGGGGGTTGAGGCCAGGTAGACACCCCAACCCTACGTCTAGCTCCACTACCTTTTACCCTACCATTTACCTTTTGGAAGAAATCTTTGTCTGGCAATTTGGGTCTGTGGATGGACATTGGACTCTCCTCGAAAGGGGAATAGCTAAAACTGGAATTCCCAAGGAAGGCTGAAACATGCTTGTATGTCACTGACCAGGAAGCCCAAGGGGGAGGGGGGAGGGGGGGGGGTTCTGATCTCCTAAACAACCCCCCTTCCCTACGCCACTGCAAAATTGCATAATATTTGTAAATTGAAGATAGCTTCCATAAAAGGTTTTCAATGCGCTACCAAAGGGTCTGCTGAAGGGGTATGAAAAGGGACATGAATGCTGTGATGAATTATGATATACAGTATACTTAGGTACATACAGGGTGCGTCAGCTATTTGAGAACATAAATTTGATTTTAAGGAAAACAAAAATATTCAGTAGAAAAGCCAATATATTTTCATAGAATTTGGTACACATGTTCTTACATACACAAAGCAAAAGGCTATTCAATAAAACCGCATTCAACCTCGATTACGGCCTCGATGCGGCTTCTGAAACGACTACATGCGTTGATCAGGTGATCCTTATTAATGTTTGCCATGATGTCCCCGATGGCAGCCTTCAACGAGTCCTTGGTATTATGGGCATGCTTGTTGGTCTCCCTCTCAAAGACGCCCCGGACGTAGTAGTCCAGGGGGTTTACATCAGGAGAGCTAGGAGGCCAAATGTTAGGGGTAACATGATCGTGAAAATTTTCGGCCAGCCACTCCTGGGTCGTGCTGGCTGTGTGAGAGGGAGCAGAGAGCTGGAACACGTACGGCCTCCCCCAAGCCGAGACGCTGTCAAGCCATGGGTTGAGGGAGTGGCTCCAGCAAGACTCTGCTCCCTCTCACACAGCCAGCACGACCCAGGAGTGGCTGGCCGAAAATTTTCACGATCATGTTACCCCTAACATTTGGCCTCCTAGCTCTCCTGATGTAAACCCCCTGGACTACTACGTCCGNTTCTTCACGATATTCTTCACGATATTCTTCACGATATTCCTCACAATATTCTTCACACCTTTTCAACCTCGCGTCACCCAGGCTGGTTTTATCACATTTGACCTTTTTTCTTCTCTTTTTCTTTAGGTTGGGTTATTGATGCTCGATTTCATGAGAGCGTGAATACTTTGACCTATTCTGGTGGCCTAATTGGGCCTTAGGAAAAATTTCCCATGACTTGCGGTCGTTGCTATAAGACCATGTATAGCCAAACACATTTGTCCCCAAAGCAAACAAAAGAAAAATAACCAATAATCTTGAATGAAATAAATGTTCAATGCAGATGCGTTTTTCATGTTATGCGATTGCAAACGTTGCCAAACTTTAAATTACGAGGCTTCTTAACTGCGCTGGATGAGGTGATTTAATCATAATGAGCCGGTGGCGCCGGAAAATAACGCCATTCAGCGAGTAAAAGCAGAGGCTGGAAAGGCTTGAATCGAGTTGAAATCGGCACAGGAACTGACGAGCCGATTTGCCGAAAATTCATGGGGCACGGTGGAGGTTGCCTTATATTTTCTACAGGTATGGGAGATTTGGCTCAAATTAAATGGACGTTTGTTGACGAGCAGCGTTGCTACACATGCAGATCCACTTATATAAATATATTATATTTCATCTCACAGTTTTAGGAAAAGTATTGTTTACTTCAGGGCTGAATATATTTGAACACCAAACGTTTTAAGAAATTTCATGTTAGACTAAAAGAAAATAACTAACTTTTTAGTATGTAACTTGGCCAAATCCTACCGACAGCGCAAGTGAGATTGATGAGAGAACTCACCCTCTTTGTTCCGGTTCTGATACTTCTTCTCCGCCATTGCGATGGCTTGCTGCGGCGGCACCTTCGGCGGCGTCGCGATCACTTTCTCCTCCTTCCCCAGCGGCCGCTTCACGATGCACTCCCGCGCGGCGTAGACGGAGGACCCGCTCCCGCCGCTGCTGCACCCCCGCGACATCCCCCAGCCGGGGTTGACCCGCTCGATGACGTGGGGCCCCCCCGGCCCGGGCACGAGCACGCCCTCGTGGTCGTAGAACGGAGTGCGGAACGTGAGCTTGTCCCCGTAACGCGCCATCGCCCAATCCATCCGGAGACTCCTGCACACGCAGCTTTCGAAGGCTGTGGACTTCCTGCAGGCCCGAACACGTCACGAGGAAAGACGCGTTTCACTCACGGATTGGATCGATGCCAAATACATGATGCTTTCTCGCTATGTATGGTCTGTCCTTGAAAACAGGTTCACGACCGTCGTCGAAAGATGTTAATTGCTCGAGGAATATTGCAAGAGAACGTTCTTTGAACAATTTGGCGCTACTTGGGAATGTTCAAAGAAATCTTAATTTCAACAGTTTTTAAAGCCTTTTTTTCGCATTTATGAGTCCTTCTTGCATTCTTTAAATGCATTTAATATGTGCAATATACATGAGATGCAAAGTGTTTGCAAGCAGGGTCTGGAAGGGTAAAACGGTTAGAAGAACGATCCCATCGCGGAGCCGAATTTCGAAGCCCAAAGTATTGCCGGGCTGAATATCGCAGGATGAGCTCCGGTTTTAAAGGGTCGCTGGCGTTAACCCCGCGCAGTTCAACGCTTGCATTGAGGCATCAAAATAAATTTTACTCCGTATCGACACCTCTGGTCAATGTCATCTATCCTGTGTATGTCATCGATTCTGCCTAGAATTATGCACCTCGAGTCATGACCCGGGTCACGACTGAATGCGCCCAGTGTCAAAACAAGGGGGAATTCCCTTCGAATTAGGATCGAGTCGTTAATTCTTGTTTGCCCTCCTCTGATACGTAACACAAAGAAACCATGACATCCCGCTTCCACGGTCTGCTGATGGAAGTTACCGAACCACGGTCAAGTTAATTGGGCTGCTCAGTACCCAAAGCCCGAAATTAACCCTTTTGGCTGTTTGCCCGAGAACATACTCGGACTTGTGTAGTGGTAACATGGGTATGTTCTCGGGCTCAGAACATTCACTGTTTCTAGGTTATTTCACAGCTATTTATGCTTGTGTGTTATAACAGTCATAGGGTTAAACCGCCAAGTACGTCGAAGCCCCCCCCCCCCCCTGTCTCGCCAGGCTATAAATTAAAGAGAGCGGGGCTGTCAAGAGTCAAACGACCCGGGGTACCCGGACCATGCGGGTCTACCTCCTCTCCTCTCTCTTAGTCCTTTGCTCGGTGAGTTCTTTTCTCTTTCATACTGAATCCATCAGCGTCGATTTCGATTTCCGTTTTAATTTTTTCGCTATAGATCTCCGGGACTCATTCGTACGCTGGGCGCTACGACCAGGAGAAGGTGAGTCTGACGACGGCATTGCTTTCATCCACGTGAGCGACCCCGCTCTGAAAAAATCCAAATTGGCATTACAATGGCAAATCCAATCAAGTCGGCGCACATTTCATCTCATGAACTAGGCATGAGTTTGACTTGAGCTTGTGCGTTCTCGAAACTCAGTAACTTTCGGAGCTGAATAGCGCGTAACCTGAATAACAGCTGATGATGCCACTCGAGGTACTGGCATGAGGCCCTCTTTGAAAGTGTCCATTCCCGCTTTTTTTATCCTTCCTTATGTTTATTAAATCAAATTAGTTATACATATAATTATAATATTTAATGATTCCATATAAATATCCCGAAAAGGCAGGCACAATGCTGAAAGTAAACACATACCCAATAAGTCATGTTGGGTAAGCACTGACAGTTGATTAACAGCTTCAGCTACCTCGCCCCGAGTCGAATTCATCGATGTTAGTGAAATGGAATCTACCGTCTGAAAGGTTGGGAATGATTCAGACAGGATAAGGAAAATATATAACTAGCGAGTTTGTTTGCCCGAAGGGAAAACAAGCGATCGTCTATATATCTAATATCACCCATTAATGTCACGATCGTCTATATATCTAACTAGCGGGTTTGGTCTATAGCCGTGCCTTCGGCGCACTATTGTCTATGATGAAATTGATTCGTTTGAAAATTCTTTTTTCTACCTATTTGCTAAAATTCTGGGGTCCATAGCCACATTTATTGTCATGTCAAGTTACTTCCTGCTACGTGACGTCATTGGCAAACTAACAAACGGACATCTTTAGCTTATTAAAATTGTCGTACCGAGTGGTAATTCTTTACGGTATTTTAGCTATATGTAACAACTCACATCGTTTTAGGGTGAAAATTTCCTGGAAACGTGCTGTATGAGGAAAATTTATATTGCCTTGAACGATAATTTTAAAAAGCAGGAATTTCCTTGGAATAATATTTTCTAGCTAATATTAACGAGATTTTATTTTTTGTGTTTGCCTCTTTACTGAAACAATAAATTTAATGGAAAATGTCTACCCAAAAAAGTTTGTCCCAAATATGAGTGTCTCGAAAGAAGAGTTCTCCAGATATGCATTTGGACAGGTAACTTTGTGACTAAGTCTGTTTTTGTCTGTCCGTTTTGTGAGAGCAAAAATTTCTAGGAATACCTGCGTTTCAGAAATGTAATGTCCCAGTGGGGATGTACCTTAAACATTGAAAATTTGCAAAAATCAGTTCCCCAAGAACAGCTGGATTGTCATATATCACTTATATATTTCTCCACTTATTGCCGCAAAAATGAATTTGGTACAAAAAAAAAACATCCTGCAAAAAAAGGCCTTCAAGATAAACCTCACAACTATAAACTTTCTTAACAGTGGCGTGCATCCAGTGCATCCAAACTTCCCCCCTCAAGGGGGGAAGTTTGGGGGTCATAACCCCTCTCCCCACCTTGGGATACATATTATAGATGCGATTTTTTTTTTCACATTTGGCCACAAATTCTGGGTGAGTTTCCTGTGCTTCAAATGTCAACCCACCCATTGGGAATTTCCGGACATGCTACTACTTCATAATATTGACATCGAGAGAAGCTCTTGTGTACCAAATTTTAGATTTCAATAATTACATTTTTCGAATAAAAAAAAAACATTTATAAAGTCCGTCCTCATCTAAATTACAAAATTACATCAAAATTACTGACGCTAGGTACTAGACAGTAAGCAACTATGATAGTCAAAAAACAAAAAATACCAAAAAATGGAGAAATACAAAAATATTTAGCTTTAAGAGGGTTAGGCCTACCCTTAAATTAAGGAACGCTTGACCTCGACACGTGATATCGAAAGAGGTGAAATCGCCTCTGGATATCACGAACTATATTGAATCTTGAAAAAAATATGTGCCATGAGGGAAGGTCACATAGACTTTTACTGGAATAATTACTCCGATAATGTCTTGTGTGCATAACTTTAGAACTCTTCATATGTCCCCATTTTTCAGAGCGAAAAATAAATATTGAGATGTTTATCTCTTCTAAATCGCTCCGGGAGAACATGTTTCAAAAGTAGGATTTTTTCTGTGTTCATTAATCTGGCAGGTACTCCGGCTCCAAGTTTCAACTTTCAGCAGTTCTCCCTTTGTTTGAATCAAAATAGAATCGGGAAAATGAACCTTTTGCAAAAAAAAAGTGCCTACAAGAGTTTTACCTAAAAATATTAAAAATATTTGCTGAAATCACTACTCAGAGAACGACATGCCAACCGGATTTCAGCCTTATCCGTTTGCGCTTTTCACTGGTGCAAAAATGTCTTCGGAAAAACCAACCCACCCTAAAGCTGTGCCCTGAAGGGATGTACCACAAATGTTGAATTTTTCCAGAACCCAGAATCATATCAGCTATGTGTATGCCAAGTTGCACTTTCTATATCAACCTGATTCACAAGGAAAGAAAAAAATCGTTTGTAAAAATAACCCCCATAAAAAATTTCCCAGAGGATGGAATGACATTTTTCGTGAACTCAGTAGGCACGTTCATGCCATGTTTCTGGTTTCCATGTCTCTCCGTTTGATTGAAGCAAAATAATTATTTGAAGCAATTCCCTCCCAAAAGGTGTGCCCCCAGGGCATTTACCTCCGAAGTCGGAGTTTTTCTGGACTCAGCATCCTAATAGGTACTTACATACCAAGTTTCATCCTTTCATCATATTGTTACGGAGGGGAAATGGGGAGACGGACGGCATGAGAGGACGAAAGAAGCCAAGGAACGGCCGGGAATTGAACCCGGGCCTCCTGATTGCCGGTCAGGAGTGCTACCACTACACCAGGTGTGCTACCACTACACCACCGAACCCCGGACAGTCAGTCGTGCCTCTCGATGCCATCCTC